AGTGTTCATAATAAAGTTTGAAAAAGTGCTTCACGTCTGACCATTCCCACCGGAAGTATGTTTCGTCCAAACCGGAAATGGTCGAAAAATGAGTATTTTTTAACGAAACTTTCAGGGATGATTCCTACAAGCTCGATATGGAAATTTAAGTCATTTTGAGCACTTTCGGTCACACTGGAAGTGAATTTAGAAAACCGGAAGTTGTTGAGAATTGATAGACCTCACTCTTTTTTGTGCTTCTAAACATATTTTTGTAAATTCATGTGCCTCTTTAACTCATCTTTAGTCGTCTTCTCGAAAAACCGGACGGAAGACCAACTCGTTGCTCGCAACGAGAGATCATCTAGTTTTATTTTATTTTTTGCTTTTGTTTCGGTATAATACCACAGTTAAAAAGTATATAATTGATGGAGTTGGCAGCTACATGTACCTCAATGATATACTTTAACTGTATACTAACCTTTGCAACCTTCCATACTTACGTTTGCCAAATTGTCGTGGTCGGCCTGATTTATGGTGATTTTCCAAAATTTATGAATTTTGAAATTGTCTTATCACCCTGTAAATAGACGACAGGGACTTGTTTACCGCTTGTGCCACATGTATGTCTGCAATTTTTTTTTACCATTTCTGTAAATCTATACCATGACCTCTTTCAACGCTATCAACAGTTCTTTATTTGCTCGACATCAAAATGTAAACAATATATGCAGTAGACGAAAAATATGACGTATGAAATCACATGATCAAGTCTTGATCTATTTGTGCCTAAAGGAATCCCTATGACGTTGACGATAAAAAATAAATATAACGCTTTTCGATAGGTCAGACGCAGCAAAATTTCTTCGGGCTCCATGATTTTGTCAGCATTTTTGTCCCCCCAACTGTATCTATACAAAGGGAAATCTGACTACAAAGCCATCTTTCCATGAGAAAAAAAAAAATATTAAATAGCTATTTCTTCAGAGGATTGAGGTAGAGTTACTATTTAACCAAATGGGGGGGGGGGGGAGGGGTTAACTCTGGGGAAAGGTTAGTGTAGATCACAAAACATTTGCGAGACTTTATTTTCGATCTTTACATGTATAAGCGGGACATAGTTTTCACAAATTAATTTTTTTATGCTATTTAACCTTTACTTATACAAATAAACGCGAGAATTAAATTTTCGTAATTTCATAATAAAGTTCTCACGAATCACACATGGTTTGCAGTACTTAACATCACTGGTACTGTTGTTTTGTTTAGTAAGCTTTTTCATATCGAGGTTCAACCTTACATTTTCAATTATTATACACATAAAGTATATTACTGAGGGAGTTAGCAAGATTCCAGTTCCCCAAGGCCAGTCCTGGTCGAGGGGAACTCGAATCATGCTAACTCCCTCAATGGTATACGTTTTAACTATACCGATACAAAAGTTAAAAAAAAATAGAGGATTACGAATGACGGGGAATTAGCTTTCGGAGCGCTTGACTAACGCAAGGGGATTAGTCCATTAACATATTACACCAATACAGAAGTAAAATCTGGAGGACTACATACATGTTTTACCGGGAATTAGCTTCCGAGGCAGGGATTAGCTCATTTGAGTTACGCACGTTGATTAATCCATGCACGGCGAATTTGTAGGGAATTATTCTCAATTTAACATGTAATTTTTTATAGGGAAAAAATCAGTATAGGTATAATAAATGTGTTTAAATCGTAAATCGGTTCATTTACGAATTTAATATATGTTTATTTATTTTAACACATTTTCTCTCTTGTAGACTGCATAGGTGATTGTGGCGTGTGGAGGACAAGGATATCAGGTGAGTATACATCTACAGTCAGAAACAAATCAATATGTTTGTAATGGTTACTTGAAGTGTTTTTCTTTTCTCAGATAATCTGATTAATCACCAGGATGTTATATCTTTGTGAATATTTCAGTGTTTATATCCTTAAGGTACAATGTTTCGATATTGTGTATCATCTATAATGAAATGATTAGATCACAAAGATTCCACAAACATTTTTGAATAGGCACCCTTGTTACGTTAACGAGGGTGCCTATTCAAAAACTAATTAAAGTCACACGCGGATCAGAAAATGGGGATGGTGTTTAGAAAACCTTTATCATAGTTAAACGGTCTTAAATCAAACCAAAAAAAGGCCTTAGAAAGCCCTCCCAAGAGAAACCCCGACCCCTTCAAGTGGTAAGGAGTCATATCTGAAGTGTGTGTGCATGTGCATGTGAGAGAGAGAGAGAGAGAGAGGTGTGCGTGCGTGTGTGTGTAAGGGGGTGTGAGGGTGTGTGTGTGTGAGATAGAGAGAAAGGATGTGTGTTTTTGTCTTTGTTTTCTTTTGTTTTGTCCCCCCCCCCTCTTTGGCTTGACATCTGTTATAAAGTGGATGTTGACCCCCTGGAAAAATTCTTTGAATTATGCCTATTTGTCAGGGCTCAAATACATTGCACGTATGTATGATTACCGTACATACTCGCCTAGAAGACGGGTTGCTTATAATTAGGTTGATTTTTAGCTCTACTGGTCAGAGACCAGAAGAGCTTATGCGATAGTAAGGTGTCCGTCGTCCATCCGTCTGTTCTGTCTGTCTGTCTGTCTGTAAACAATTTTTCAAAACGCTACTCCTCCTACAGTTTTGGTCTGATTTCAATATAACTTGGCACACAAGTAGACTACACTAAGATACATAATTTAGTGCATCGGTTTTTGATTTCGATGAACGGTGTTGCCATGGTTACTAAAAATAGAAATTTCTGTGAAATTCCTTTAAAACGCTACTCCTCCTATAGTTTTAATCTGATTTCAATATAACTTTGCATATAAGTAGACTACGCAGCACAGTTAAGGCTGCAGTAGGGAGGCGGGGCCTAATTTATACGGGAAATGCTTACTATGACATCACACAAAAATATAAGTTCTTCAAATTACCACAAAATGAAATAATTTGCTATTTTAAACTGTTGAATAGTTTTAAACTACATCAATACTAACTAGTGCATGCATTTTTGTCGTTGGTTAAATCCCACACAGCAATATATAAACAATTCACTGATCGCAATGCACTTGTCAATGTGACGTCTTATTGTAAAATTTGACGCAGTTTGTATGCAGTGAGAGGCGGATCAAGTTATATTTATACAATGAAAAATGTATTTTGTAGTTAAATAAAATATAAACTGTAGATATATAAGAGGGCATTAACTTGGATGCAATGTCTGTTTTATGATTTAATTCATATACGTCCCGTACATTCCCTAGACAAGCGATACCGTCGTATATTTGTGTGCAGTTTCATTTAAGGGAAATAGAATGGGGGGTAATAAATCGATATATTGCAAGGGCATACCCTCAGTAAATTACGACAAGCTTTTACACATAAACTCAAGAAGTATGAAGATATTTGAAAAGTGCTGCGAACCTGTTGAAATCTTGCAAATGAATTAATTATATCTATATTTAATGTACTTGGCCAGCAAAATATTCAACATACGGTCTAACAAATGTAATTTTTGCAATTAGATAGTAGAATGTATATAGGTTCGCAGCACTTTTCACAAACTACAAAGAGTGTTGAAAATAATTATATGTTAAACTAAGATGTTTAACCTGGTTATGCCCTTACAATGTTTAAATTTATAGATGACCTCAATACTTCAGGTATATTTACTAAAATCACGTGACTGCCACATCACGTGACAAGTCTAATTAAGAAATCTAATCGTCCTCAACATGTAGTTTTTCAACCACATTGCATATGTCCGATATAATAGTAAAGTCCTAAAAAGAAACGCCCATCCTTGTAAAAAATGTATTTCCTATCTAAAAAATTCGCCGATATTTCCATTTGGCACCTTAACTGTACTGCGTACACTAAGATATATAATTTAGTGCATCGGTTTTTGATTTCGATGAACGGTGTTGTCATGGTTACTAAAAATAGAAATTTCTGTGAAATTTCTTTAAAAGGCTACTTCTCCTTCAGTTTTGGTCTGATATTAAAATAACTTGGCAAACAAGTAGACTACACTTAGATGCATAATTATGTGCATTGGTTTTTGATTTCGATGAATAGTGTTGCCATGGTTACTAAAAAAATCCTTGTAAAAAATGTATTTCCTATCTAAAAAATTCGCCGATATTTCCATTTGGCACCTTAACTGTACTGCGTACACTAAGATATATAATTTAGTGCATCGGTTTTTGATTTCGATGAACGGTGTTGTCATGGTTACTAAAAATAGAAATTTCTGTGAAATTTCTTTAAAAGGCTACTTCTCCTTCAGTTTTAGTCTGATTTCAATATAACTTGGCGCACAAGTAGACTACATTAAGATACATTATTCTATTTATTGCTGCATGTTGCAAAGTTTCAAATCCAAGTGCTACTTTTCCTTTGTTATATGTACAGACCAGTAGAGCTACAGTCTCATCAGAGACTTCTGGTTTCAAGTTATTTTGGAGACCTTTTCCAATGATCCTCTTACAAGTCGGTACATTTTTTTTATTAATATACATGTTTTTCATTTTTTTCGGGGGTGGGGGTGACATCGGTAATTGATCTTTTATTAACCATTTAATTAAATATAAGATCGATCATTAAAGATTTTAAGTACTTATCATTTATGCATAAACTAACCCTTAGTCTTCATTTCTTGAATAAAATAAAGATAAAAACCTACAAAATCCACTATAGGAACAGTTTACTCTGAGTTATTTATCGAAGTAGTTCGACTTTTTTATCAAAGCAAAAACATTATTTCAAAGGATTCATATTGTTTAAACAATACTGTTTTAGCACAATGTAAATTAGAAAAAAGGACACTAAAACAATTTTTTTAAACTGGTATTTATATGAATTTATCAATGAAATACTACGGATGATTAATGATTCATAAATTTTCAGAAAAGTTCTCCACACTCAGGGGCACAATCATTGAAAATAAGTTTTTAAATTCTATAGATGAGTTCTTTACACTGACTGATGAAGAGATGTCCGTCTTATATTGTTTTCTGTGTTCTGACTCCGGTCCTCCTGACTTCACTGACACAGAGTGGCTGGACTTGCTTAATGAGATACGAAAGGAAGTGTACGGTAAATATACTAATGTTACAAGTGAGGAAGCACAGCAGACTCTAGACAGACTGAAGTCCCGTGATTTCCTTTGGGAAGATCAGGAAAAGATAACGAAGGACACAAAGGATGAGACAATGTATAGGATAGTGTCAAAAGATTGGACTATGCAATTCTATTATAGTAGCTATGGCACAGCCAGTGTGTACCTGAGATCAAGAGGATACAGCAGAAAACTTGGAGAGAAGTGTGTCATCAGTAACAGAAGTTACTATGATTCCTTACTGATACGCCGTCTACAGATGAACATATTGACTCATGTCACCATGGAGGACACGAGTATATATGATGAGATACACCAGATATGTAAGTCAGTATAAAGACATCTGATTATTTTCAAATTCGGAAAATGTTTCAAATGAATGAATTTATTAAATTAAAAAGAGTGATATACTTATTAATTACACAGAATGAATGTTTTTTTTTTTTTTTTTAGCTATTATAGATAATTGGTTCATTGGTCGTACACTTTAATTAAGATTTGTAAACTATTTTTTTTTTTCTAAATTTGTATATAGGTTTATATTCGATCTTGTTCGTGATAATAACTACTTACATTTATAATTAAGTATAATGTTTATAAGTTTATGTAAAGAAGAAAGGCCTCAAACTGTCCATTCTGTGAGAGAAAGAACTAATCGAGGGCCGTAGGCATGATTTCCTTTGTTCAGAAAATTAAATAAAAAATGTACAAACTGACAGCACACATACAATGACAAGTTCATTGTTTACGGAATGGACAGTCACAGGTAAGCTAGGGATGCAGAGCAATTTGTTGGATAGCCATTGTGTTTCCAGATGCGAATAACAAAAGGTCTTTGTCTTAAGAATGGACAGTTACAGGTGGATTTGTGGGATACTAGTATTTATACAAGTATGCGATGCTTCAAAATCATTTTATAGTTTGTGTTCTAAAGGCAAACATGTTTTCCTCTGATGGAGAGAGTATATGACAGAATCAAAATCTTATATAATACTAAAATATGAACAAAATTAGTGATATTTGGATCTGGAAACAGAAAAGTAAGAAAAAAAGAAATATTACCCAAATTTTGACCCAGAAATGAACTTCGACGACAGATACAGATGGTCATATTCGAATCAAACTTTGAAATGTTTTATTTGAATTCTATTCTTGAGAATATATTAACTGCAGCAGTGTAATGGTGAGATGCAAATTGTGTTCCGAGTGTTGGATTAACTATGAACCAATCTTCGACGTGAAATGTTTTTCAAATCAAATCTGGAAATGTTTAATTTTTATTTATTGGGTGGAGGATCGTTTATTGGGTGGAGGATTTAATATTAGACGTACTTCTATCTGAAAATGAATTCTCGAGGGAATGATTTTTACGAAATTTTAATCAAATGTGAAATTGTGTCATTTGAATTCAAGTTTTGAGAAAATTAAGTTTTGAGTATTGAAATAATGTGCATTATTCATGGATTTCAAAGAGTAAAATCGAGTGGATGTTGTTCAGACATTGTGTTGTGGATTATCTTTGATATGCGCGTTCTTTTTGTTATTTACATGTAAATTAAAAAGTATTTAATGTATTTGTTTTTGTTTCCCTCTTGAACACATTCCAAAGTTTACCTGTAACTCTCCATTCTGTTTGTTTTAACTGTCCATTCTTTTTGAAAAAAACTGTCCATTCTTAAAAGAATGGACAGTTTTCCTAAAAGAATGGACACTTACAGGTAACTTAATGGATTGTTTGAGGAGTTAGCTCAACATTAATCTATAGAATGGACAACACAAACAAAAGGTTTACGTCACAGTCATGTTTTAAAATACATTATGCATCTTCTTCTGTAGTGAATGTCTCAAACCAAAAACTAAAATACAGTGAAGATAAAAGAGAAGAATTTCTTATGGATCTAAGAAGAGGAGGGGAGGCTGTACATTACAGAGGAAGATCACAAGGCAGTGTACATCACGTGACATGGCTCTGGAGATACAGGAGGAACGCGAGACCTGACATCGTGAGATCCTGTATAGGCCTCCATCCACACTGGGACATTTACATCATCTACAACAAAGCTTACAGAAAACCAAGTAAGAAGAAAAATATAATGATGTTTTATCTAATATACGTAAATATTACGCTTAACTCCTTACAAGTTTACACGTACACATTACATAGACACTCCCTTCAATTGTTTCAGTATTACATGACAATCATTTTAAACTTTAGTTTGATAATTAATAAAGGACGTACACTGTGGTGATTATTCGGGTCGCTGGTTACGCTGATCACCAGTGATTATAAATGAAATATGTCCGATGTCTGGTTCCTTGTCTTTTTGGAATTGACAAGCTTAATGTATTCTGGTCATGGTTCTTACACAAAAAAGGGGGTGGGGTGGGGGTGTTGGAAAACACCCAACCCGGTTACACATGATTTCTTAAAATTATGTAGAATGTACTATTTTTTTGTATTAGAGGTATAAAGTAACTTCAGACAGATTGTTGATTTCGTAGTATTTACTCACAGAAATCAACTGGCCTATAAAAGAGTGTACATAATGCTTAAGTAATATGTAAATGAAAGAAACAAGGTACGTTATTGGTTGATTTTCGTCGAACCTTGAAATATATTGATGTTTACCTGATGAAAAAGTAGAGAACTTTATATTTCTAAAGATATATGTGACTTACTCGTATTTGATTACATGTAACACATCGCAAATACTGCTGAAAAGTGATGTTCATGTAATGGTAACGTCAGTTCCGACGTTCGTTTTGCTAGACGATGTCAATGGCGTACATATCTCTCTTGCGTTATACAAAGGTCCTATATATAAGTATAGAAATGATGTACATGTTCGATTGTCTGTAAACTAGAGATCAATCCATCCAAAGATATTTTGAGAATTTCATTTGCTGTTAAGTTTACATTTTGTCATTTGGGCCACGGCTGAGATGTTGTGGGGATGACAGGCTTTTACATGTGTAATGTATATGAAATTGTCAGACTGCCTGCATGTGACACAAAACAAAGAATCATTACCGGTAGTTGACCTCTTTCTAGGAGCTCGAGTTACTATTTTCCTCTCTCTCTCTCTCTTTCCATCTCAATATTTCATTAAATACACCGTTACTATATACCTACGTACATTCTGTACATAATTTTCCCTTATATATATATATATATATATATATATATATATATATATATATATATATATATATATATATATATATATATATATATATCAATTTGTCAATGTGATGTACTTCCTTTATGTCAGAAAATAGACTGTATTGTAATTAATATTAAACTTATATCCTTTGTTACATATATGTATACATGTTTATTCTCATTTCTTACTGATTATATATAAAACACAAAATTCGAGCTCGAGGTCAGGAAAAGCGGAGAATAATAGATGATGGTGGCTATAATACTTAAAATCAATTTATGCATATATCATGGAGGCAATTTTAACACCGATAATACAAATAACAGAAATTACAGAAACAGTCAATATCCATTCCTCCGTTGGACTCCGATTCATATACACAACACCTGCAGCATTGTCGAAATGGTCCGCTGTTTCCAATGTATAATTATTTCGATAAATATTTAAAAGATGCAATGGAACTTGATACTGAACTCTAACCAGTATTTAAGAACTATACACGCTAACACTCGATTCCTGCCTTCATTTAAAACCCATTCAATACTAATGTCATTTTGGCTATAAAATCTTTGAATGCAAAGAAGTGTTCAATAATGATTAAAAGTTTTAGTAACAGTGCCGAATAGTTAATTACTATTAATTTCAACTCTTTTTATATGGGGTATAGAAGATGTTTTCCATTGAAATTAGGCACCAGATTTTTAAATATTCTTTAATACATTCTCTTATTATGGATAAATGTCTTTTAAATCTTTTTTATGTTTAATTCATGTAAAATTAAATATAAATGATTGATAAAATACAACGTTTCAGTTGTGAGCCCCTTTGAAATTTGTTTTTTTTTTTTTTTTTTTTTTTTTTTTTTTGTGTCTTTAAACATACCCCCCCCCCCCCCCCCAAAAAAAAAAAAACAAAACCAAAAGCTTTGGTATATGATGAATTTGTTAAATAACAATTTTTAATACCTTTTAAAAGGAATGTTTGTTTCACGGGGGGGGGGGGGGAGTTTTTTCTTAAATTTATTTCCATTGATTTCTATAGTGAAAGCACAAGTTATTTCCAAAATTATAGAATTATTTCTCTTTGTTTTCCCAAATAAGTTATGTTTTGCGAAAATCCATATAATTATCTATATAGATATGAAAAATCGTGCAAATAAATTTACTTTTGAAAATTGACTGTGAGGTAGGCGGCATAACAATACAACCCTTTGCAGTTCTTTAGTGACATTGACCAAGTTTACCCATGCTACGTCATTTTTTTTTTTATTTTATGATTTAACTTTTTTAAAAATCGTTTTTATTCATATTTTAAATTTTTTTTACTGTTGGATAAATTAACTCTATGCACAACTCGAAAGTCAATCTTACACACATGTCAATTATTAGCATGAAATAAAACTTTCAGGTTGTGAATCACGCAATAGGAATGGACACCTATTCTATATCGTTAGCAGGCCCGTGGTACTGCCCTTCCCCCACCCCTTTTTGAGACTAGTTTTCTGCTGTTGAAGTCATATGGAATTTTTCATTCAAAAGCCGTTACTCTAATCAAGCCCTACCTTTTACAAATATATTGCATTACGATCGATTCTAACACCCCCCCACCCCCCCCCCACCCCCGCTTCCCCCCAACTTGAAATCTGATGTTCACATGGCGGCTGCATTGCTGCGACGGCACAGGCGGCGCACTGGACTATGCTCAAATGTTCTTCATTTGAATCCACTGCTTTAGCAACGCATGAGTATTACATGTCTTCATCGTAACAAGCCACGGGTTAATGTCTACTGATTTTCACTTTGGAAATAAAATAGACAAAAAATCCGTAACTTGCGATGGTGAGATGACTGGTACCAAATGGAATTTTTTTTTTTTTTTTTTTTTTGGTCCTCAGTATATTAAAACGACAGAGGCGGTTTTTCTAAGTATGTGAAGAAGTGAAACTAAAAAAATAGAGCTCGGTCGAAAGAATCGGGTAGAAATCATTTTAAAACTGAGACGTGGTACTCTTTTTGAGAGGACAACCAAGAAGTAGAAGAAAAAACCTTAGAAATATAGGGAATATTTAATCTTTATTATTGGATACATGTATGTATTCAAACTCTGTGCGCATTTTTTGATATTAAATCATACCTATCAAATACATTAAAAAAATAAGATGTTTCACATTATGTCTTTAATTAATTTGATGAAGCAAAGAATTTGATTTAGTAATTAAGGTATTTTCAAATGGCACTTGTTTCGTATAGAGGGCATGTCCTCCTTTCTCTTTTCACAAGGTGTGTCACTCAATTTCAGCCCCCCCCCCCCAACACTTCAAGCTCGTATTTTATTAACTTATTAATCATTTATCTTATTTAACATGAAATAGTTCGCTTTGGGAGACTTTTTTCCTTTTCTGATAATATAAATCTTTCCAGACGTCTATCGTCGAGTCTCTTTATTGTATGTAAACCACTCATTTATTCCTCGAATATTACCTCAAGACATTTTATGGACTTTACAGAAGATATATCAACTTCTTCTAATTTACGATAAAATTAGGGACATCCGAGCTTTTCATTCTGATCCAAAAGATTGAGAAAAAAATAAACCTTGCAAAAAGATGGAAAACCTATTTTGTGGGGGAGGAGAGGGGACGGTTTTGACAAGGTACTTTCCTAATTCAATTTTCTTCAGACACATGACTCCTATTACCATGTTACAAGGGGTCCGTATTTCCTAATTGGGGGGGGGGATTACAAGGTTGATTTTTCGTTACTTTACATAGAAACTTATTTGCGCTGAAAATTCAACGGGGGGGGGGGGGGGGGGGCTCCGAGATAAGAGGCGGATCTAATGCCCTGTTCACACGGAGAGTTTAATTCGCAGTAAATTAATGCGTAGTAAAATAATGCGAATTAATCTAATGCAAATTAATGCCCTGTACACAGGGAGAGTTAAATTCGAATTAAACGTAAGTTACTGTGAATTAAATTTGAACCGCGTTCACACGAAGAATTTAATGCAAATTAGTGTAATTCGAAATAATTTATTGTGCAATAAATTATTTAGCATAAGCTCCGTGTGAACGCTAAGCGAACCTAATTCGAATTAAATTTTGACGCATGCGTAAGGGCAGATATGAGTCACATGCGTTTGTCAAATATAGGTATTTGTGCTATTTTTGAATGGAAAACAAAGGAAAACTATGTTTATAAATCACTAAAAACGGCACAGACACTATAAAATTATGTCAAATCTATATCTGCTCTGCACAATATGACGTGATTTGCAAATGACGTCATAATAGTCTTACTGAATAGCCTTATAGTAGATATAAATTAATTTATTAATTTAATTAAATTAATTTAATTTAATTGTCATTAGTTTACTTCGCATTAGCTGTCGTGTGAACGCAACTTAATTCGCATTAGTTTAATTCGCATCATTTTACTTCGCATTAATTAACTGCAAATTAAACTCTCCGGGTAAATAGGGCATAGAAATATTAATTTTATACCGTGTTCAAACGGAGAGTTTTATTCGAATTAAACATAAGTTTCTGCGAATTAAATTTGATCCGCGTTCACACGGAGAATTTAATGCAAATTAGTTTAATTCGAATTAGTTTACTGCGCATTAAATTACTTCGTATTAACTCTGTGTGAACGCTAAGCGAAGATAATTCGGGAGCAGAATTAAGTCATAGGCCAATGTCGATGGACGAATATAGGTACTTGTGCTATTTTTGAGTGGAACACAAAGGAAAATTATGTTAATCACTAAAATGTGTACAGACACTATGACATTATGTCAAATGTATATCTGCTCTGCGCTAGGTGTCGTGATTTGTAAATAACATTATAATAGCCTCACTGAATAGACTTGTTGTAGAAATAAAATTATAATTCGCATTAGTTTACTTTGCATTAGCTGTCATGTGAACGCAATTTAATTCGCATTAGTTTAATTCGCATCATTTTACTTTGCATTAATTTACTGCGAATAAAACTCTTCACGTGAACAGGGCATTAATTTGCATAAGTTTACTTCGCATTGGCTCTCCTGTGAACGCAATCTAATTCGCATTAGTTTAATTTGCATTAGTTTACTTCGAATTAATTTACTGCAAATTAAACTCTCCGTGTGAACAGGGCATAAATTGCGTTCACACGAAAGCTAATGTGTAATGCGAATTAAAATGTTGAAATTTTATTTCAACAGTAAATCTATTCAGTAATGAATCATGACATCATTTGCAAATCACGACACATTGTGCAGAGCAGATATACATTTGAATATCATAGTGTCTGTACACATTTAGTGATTAACATATATATTTTTTGTTTTCTACTCAAAAATAGCACAAGTACCTACATGTGGCCTGTGACTTAATTCTGCCCTTACGCATGTGTCAAAATTTAATTTGCTCAGCGCATTCACATGGAGCTTATGCGAAGTAATTTAATGCGCAGTAAATTAAATCGAATTAAACCAATTCGCACTAAATTCTCCGTGTGAATGAGGTTCAGATTTTTATTGGCCATAACTTACGTTTAATTCGAATTAGATCCTCCCTGTGAAGAAGGCATTAGTTTAAAAAAAACGATTTACAGTTAAGGTTTTTTAAGCTTACGAAATTATAATATGTCATGTTTTACACATCAAACAAACCTCTGACATCGACGAGGATTTGTCATATAAGCTTCTAAAACGGGTAGTTTTTCGACAAAGAGAGGATCTTGAATTTATTGATTAAGCCCGCATAATACTATTTATCTTTTTTGTTGTTGTTGTTGTAATAGTTGATAATGACTCTTGAGTTTTCTCAAGTGTGCGTTGTTCAAAGTACGGCGTTAAGGTAAATTTGGGAACGCTGGGTGATTCGAGACACAGTAAATGGCTTTTTTTTTTCAACAATCATTCGGACTACTATCATCACAAATTACACTGGTAATAGTTACTTGTAATGTAAAGGCCTTTTTACTTTTAAATGCATGATAACATGAAAGATTATTTGAAAGATGTATTTTTTCATTTATCAGGTCACGATCAAATGCTCAATATTGAGGACTGATAACGCTGTACGTAGCACATTCTGAACCATATAACCAATAAAATCCCCGACACTGAATGGGTCATTCTTAATTATAATGGGTTTTATTATAAACGATAGACAAATCAATATACAATATGCTACAAATGTCACCACTTAAAAAGGACAAAAAAATTATATTTTAAATTATGAAAAGAGTTGGATTTTACATTTAAAAGAAATTCAACATCTTTTTATTTGTGTCCTACGTAAATACTCTGTGAAATCGTGTACATGAGTACTACGCTAACGTTGCATTTTCATTTCCGGACTTACTATTTATAAAAAAAAATGAATACTGTTCCCACTCAATAACCGAGAAGAATTTCATAATGGACAAAAGTTCTAGCTAACAATGGTAATACACAAGATATAAAAGTGGTTAATGCATGAGAACATATTTAATATAATCAAAATTCACTGATTTTCAATGAAAAATGAACGAATTTCGCTGATCAGCTGGTGTTTGGCGTGGTTTTATGACGTCACTATTCCATATTATGTCATTTTCATACAAGTTGACATTAGCTGTGATCTCAATTTAAACGAAACATAAAGGACCTGCACAAAGAAAAAAAAACGTAGTTGAAAAATCGGAAAAATCCCTCGGCCGAATATAGCCAATAACGTACTTTATTCTTACACAAAATGCATTCTATTCGTTTGAAATTAACGATTTTATTAGATCTTTCGAGTCAATACCATTGTAGCTTACTTTTATATTGATATCAGTTCTCATCCAAATCTAAACTTACGAAGATTGCAGTATTAACAATAACGAAAATACAATTCATTCAAGTAAACCAACAATTTCCAAAAATGTCCAGCTGAAGGCTCTATTTCGATGAAAAGTGTCTCTTGTCTGTCGTTGTCGTCTTTACCTTCGACCAATAGGCCAAATATAACCAACCTTCGTTAACAGCATCCCCGTTTAAAGGAAACTTAAAATTCTTCAACTGAAGGGTCACATCTATAAAGCATAAGGAAGATGAAATGGAGTTAGAAAACTTCATCTTTAAAAATCACAAGAACAGCGAAACCATGATTAGACATATTAATATATAAGCAACCTCAGGTAGTGTAGATTTTTATAGTATTTTCAAAGCATGATTCCGGGGAAAAGGGTGGAGCCACATTAGAAAGTCAAAGTATAACATTGGAATATATATATGGGCGTTTATCATTGAAATCTTCTCATCAAGAACAGCAAGGCCGTGATTAGTCTCATTAATTTGGAATCATTCTAAGGTAGTGTAAAATCAAGATTCTTCAAATCAACGTGAGGATATGATTTGGACTTAATGGGAGATAAAACTTTTAGACAGTGATATGTAGGAGCAAATCTTTGGAAATCTTCTCGAGAGCATCAAAGCCATGATTAGTAAAATAACTCTATGAGTATCCTAAGGTAGTGTAAATTCAAGTATGTTTATAACTTGAATCACACGGATAAGATAGGGCCAAATTAGGTCAACAAAGTTTTAAATACGAAAATATAGAAAAAGAAAATCTTTTAAAACCTCAAGAATTACAAAGCCGAGGTTAATCACAATAATCTTGGAGCATCCTCATCTAGTGTAGATACCTGTTTCAAACAAGCTGTTGGAATTCCAAAGGGAACTAATATTGCTCCTTTATTAGCTGACCTGTTTTTATTTCCAATGAAGCAGAATTTATTCAAAAACTTCTACATGAGAGGAGAAACCCACTTGCTGTGGTCCTCAATTCGACATTCAGATATAATAACGATGTTTTGACAATTAACAATACTTATTTTCATTCATATATCCATTCGATATACATGTATCCCAGTGAACTTGAAATAAAGGACACCACGGAGTCTGACACATCTGTTTCATATTTGGATGTTTTACTGACTATATATAGACATTCTTTTAATCATGTCCAATGAGATAAGATGGGATAAAATAGGAGATAGGAGGATATGAATAAAAATTTATACAAAAACTCTTAAAAAACCCTCTGCTGAAGAACAACTGATACATGATGATTCATTTTAATACTGAAGAATTCAAAGATAATGTGGAAGTCTAAATGTGTCAACCCCCCCCCCCCCCCAACTCGGCTTATGGCTACAATAGGAGATTAAGTTTTTACTTTGTAATACATGTACTTTGAAATGTCGTGGGAACATGGGTGGAACACAAGGTTTTATACAGTATGGTAAAAGAGAAAATTTTTAAAAACTTTAAAGCACAACAGGGCAACAATTAGTCTTCCTGCACAAACATCCCTTCGACTAGTTTATGTAAATTCAGTCCGTTTACATCAGGGGCCAAGATGTAGGTGGCTCTACATTTGGGGATCAGAATTTTACAAGGAAGTATGTAGAAGCAAGTAGGAATGCCATGTTATATCAATATGCAAGTACCTGTAAATTTATACAATTCCACAAATCCTCAAATTAAAATAGGAAATCAGAGTTTCCATAATGATAATATACAGGGAGAAAACCTTTTAAAATCTCCTACAGAAAAGTAAAGCCTTGTTAGTCATATTGATAATAAAGCATCCCAATGTTGTGTAGATTCAAGCTGATTAAATCATACCTTTCAACTTCTGCTCAGGCGATCTAAAAAGCTTTACACAGCCTACACTTTACACTTTTATCTGTCTCCAAACTTCAAACAGTCTAGACTTTATGCGAAGCGTCGCCCGAATCCTTATGTAAGTTCTGTAACTGAGTCTAAAGAGGCCGTTTACAATTTTTAACAAAGGACATTGTAGAGTAGATGCATTTGTGTCGATTACGCTCTCTGCAGGAAGTGAACTAAATCGTTATACAGAGGATAACTGCAAGACTGTTTATTTGCCAAATTACCAATTGAATTAGAATCGTGGTAGCGAGGGAATTTCTGAAAGGTTTCACAGAAAAATTCGCTTGACGAATATAAAGCTTGTGATTTGAATTTCCTCTGTTCTTACACATAGGTCTATTGAGCAAACTTTGCGAGCGGCGTTTAGCCTTGCTTGCTACACTTGCTATGATACATAAAAACAAGCTACATGCAATGAGTTCCGGGTGTATTGAGCAGAGATTAGAGGTGTGTTAACTTTGGCCTTTTTTTCTGAAACGGTGACTTTTTTACTGTGATAGATGCATGAATAATTTGTGACCGATGCCTGGTAAAATGTACATAAAAAAGTAACCCTAAGAAAATTAATACAAACTTTGAAATGTAATTTCTGGAATTTTTCTTTAAAATTATCAATCGTACCCAAGGCGGGTTCCTTGTATGAAGGTTTAAAAAGAAAGACAACTCTAGATATTGCAGAATCATAAAATTCTATTGACTCCCCTCTGATGATGTAAAATATGAACTTCCCTTCAAGCCAATATAGTGGTATTTCTATTACCACATGATGATAAAAATCGACATCATTGTATTTTTAATATTTGCTTTCACACAGAATCAAGTCAAAACACGGAGACATTCAGGTTTAATGCAACTTTATTTCTCGAAATTGTCCGAAGGAAGGTATTTTATCCGATGCATGATGAACTCAGCCTAAATATTGGGGAAAAATTAAACGTGTGTTATTTCAATGTTGTTTATCTTTTGTTTTCTTTGTTTCAGGTAAATACCACACGTATCCACCAGATGTCAGATGTCAGCTGTACTCCTTACTGTTAACTGAGAAATATCAGCTGAATCTCAATGAACAATCACACAACAGCACAAGAGACAAAATTAGAGAAAGGTATTTCACTGACATCGCTGATGACAGCCTCGTGAATCTACCTGATGGGATCACAGAAACAAATAACGGCGTGATGACATTTAAATCAGATGACATCCGACATGACGTCATGTACGCTTTTGTCACGGAGTGTTTGATGGGGGACAGTGATCTGGAGTTTTTCCTGACCACGGCGTCGCGTGACGTGATATCAGAGTACTGCAGATCCTTTGAATATAAGAGGAGTGAGGTAGAGAGATGTCTGTATCTACCGGACAAACCGGAGAAGATGTGCGACCTCTTCATAGACAAATTACAGCTGGACATCATCACACACTGTACCGTGTCTGATAGCGGTATTCATGAAAGGATAACTGAATATTGTAAGTAATTTTTTTTTTTGGTCTCATTTCTCCTATAGTTTGAATGACAGCTCAAGCTCTTTATTTGTCAAAAAGTTTATGTTGATTCTGTGTTTTGATACTCATCGTTGTTTCATAATTTTAGTAGAAACTAAAGATAAAAATGTCCCCCATTCTCATATTAATGACTGTGACATGACCCGGTGAGTTTTCCTTTGAAATCAGCCGTACAGTAACTGCAATACAGAACATTTTTAGTGGGCGTTTCTTATGCAAATGAGCAGAAACTGTACTGTATCTGCAAAATATCAACGATACAGTACAGTTTATTTTTAGCGATGACGGAAAACTGAATCCGTATCTTACATAATATAAACATAAGAATCAATCAAATCGTATGATAGCGCTGATAGAAAATGGGCGAACGAGCTTGAGTATTTTATTTTGGTGAATAAGTTGGACGATGCAATACCTTATAAAATCTGCATGGCCGTAGGAACCGGGGGGGGGGGGCAGGGTCGTGCCCCCCCCCCCCCAATAATTTTGCCGATATATAGCATACTATAGAAAATATGGCTACTATATGTTTGTGCCCCCTCAATAATAACGTCTGATGACCTTTTTTTTTTTTTGCTTGTCAAGGAATTTTCGTAGTTGATAGTGCCCCCACCCCCCAACTGAAAATGTATGGCTTTTCCCCGTTTTCTTCTTCAGTTAGAGCACATCAATAAAATTAAACGTACTTAGATTCGATGAATATATTGTTTTAATTATTTATTTTTTAGCATGCAAGAATATATGATATTTATTATTTTATGATGAATATATAAATAATATTTGCCTTTACAGTTAAAGTTGCATGCACTGAAAAAACACAAGGATTTTGAATAATTTGGTTGCTTGTTTATTACCATGATGGCCGTTAAAATGGGTATGCAGTAGCGCACACACATTTGAAACATGGTATTTTTGTCAGTTGTGGTAATAAAACAGTAAACTTTTGAATGATCCCGATGTTTCATGTTTGTTTTACCAGCTATGAATATATACTAGTATTTTTTTTAATAACAAGTTCTCCGGTATCAGCTGTGTATGCTTTACAATAATACCCGAGTTTTCAATTAGCTTGGATTTAGTTCACTAAAACATAGAGAAAAAGATTTTTAATGCGCCGAAAAGTACGTCGAACGGACTTATTCAATTTAACGAACATCGAAAATTGAAAATGTCGTCAATTTATTGCAGAGGAAATCAGCAGAGATGCATGTAGGATAAAACAGTTTTTTTTTCTTTGAACAATATACATTTGCCGCATGTGAAAGAAATATCACATGCTAAAATATGACTTTATGGGTTGTTTCTTTTTTTTTTTTAGTTCAAAAAGTGAAAATAAGTTACCGACCATCAGATATGATTATTGGATAGGCCGTTGGACGCTTTCCAATTATATGTAGGCAAAGGATACCACACGAGTGTGGGTGGGTCATAATCAACCAATTAAAACGCACGTTTTATAAAATGTAACCCGTGATTCAAATTGTCCAGTTGTCAAATCCAATAGTGTCATCACTTGATGCAACGCTATTTCGATCGAAGTGTTTACTTTCAAGTGAGATTTGCGATAAGGATACACTAATTGTGGTTGTGACACGACTTTGGTGTTTCTGTATAGAAATTGACTGTGCTGTAACTGTGATACAGTACACCTTTGAGGGGCGTGTTTATGCAAATGAGGACAAAAGTGTTCTGTATCTGCAAAATATCTCTGATGCAGCACGAACAATGTTTGGATCACTGCCAACATCTCGCGGAAATTTTAAAGAAAGAGACCTATGTAAATTTTTAAATGTTTAATGCAGCTATTTGGCAAAAAATTCAACAGAATCTGAAGTAACATCAATTTTTCGAACATTTTTTTAGTCAATTTAAAAAAAATACACTGTAAAAAATCGGCTTAATTGCCAATTCTAAAATTAAAGCTACAATTAGCAAAAACTGCCTTGTTTGAATTGGTAAGGTCTTGCAGAACACGGAATTCACTAGAACAATTTTCCTCTGAAGCACTTTCACATTTCACATTCTTTCTTGGGGGCTCAACATCATTTTCCGATTTTACACAAACGGACTTGTTCTGGGGTGGATCCAAAATTTTTGACACTGCAACATCAATCTGTTCACTACTACGCTTATACTTTCTTACACTTTTCTCGGATCTATGCCCTGTGCGTCGCATGATTTCTTGCTCTGAAACTCCACTTAAATGCAACTGCGTGGCGCAGGTACGTTTACCACTATGGTTACTAAAATTTCCTTTCAGTTCACCCTTTTCAGCGATTGTTTTCATAAATGATTTCAGCTTATTTACTCCAACCAACTGTTGTCCGAATCGTATTTGTACTTCGTCGGTGGGAGGTAATGGCCGTCTGTAAAATGCACCGGTATTCCCCAGAGACTCTAAGTACAGCTCAAAGTAGTCAACCATACAACGATCACCTTCAATAAATAAAACCGAATTAACTGCATTATAGTAGATATGTGTATTTTTTGTATGTGTGGATGGGAAAAAAAGGGGGGGGGGGGTAAATCAACTACAACTCTAAATATAATTATCAGTTAATTTGCATTAATCTTGACCAAACATTATTACGTCTCAAATACAAATACACACACAGAAAATAAATACATGTACTTACCAGGCGAAGAATGATGCTTTAAATTTTTTGACTGCACATTCAAATGTCCTAAGCCGCCTTTATAGGTTTTTGTGGCCCTCCCAGTGAACTGGATGTATCGTCCAGCACTGTCCTCTCCGATTTTGAATTGCTCGCACTGTAAACTGTGATGTTCATCGAATCCTCTTAATCCAAAGAGTTTGCATGCATAAAAAAATACGGTATGTTGCAACTGCTCCGCGGTTTCTCTTCCAAACACGCTCTTTAGCCACAGCGTTTCCTCATCTTGGGGTAGAATAGGGTCCGCCTGCTTTACGTCACACCCCAGTCCTTGCGTCAACCAATTTCCGGAATTCAGCAAATTCTCCGTTAGACTCATCGAGGAAATTCTTGTCGTATACTCCGTTGTCCTTTAAAAATCGTAAGAGTCCGCACAAAATCAGGTAGATTGATCTGGGTGGATATTCTGTACCATCTATCTTCCGGGCCTCCATTACGAACCGTCCTAACCAGAAACTCATCTGTTCTGAAGTCATGTGATTTAGCTCGGAAATATCCCCTCCTCTACTGGCCCGCCATTTATCAAACAGATTTATGGCCCATTTGGTGTTATTTTTCGTATTAACATTTTCTTGGTCTTTTATCAAGTTCTTGATGTCATCATCACTGACCGGTTGAGCAAACCGACTTTCGCTTGAAGCAATGTCCTTACTTTCGATTTCCATCATCGAGCTGTTGCCATTGCCAGGGGATAGGGAGAGGTCCAGCAATCCCTCAAATGCAGCATTTTCGAATTCTATCGTCTCACATACTTGCGATAATGTAATGTCATCGATTTCGTTGATAAGGAATTCATCAAAAGACGGCAAGTCTAGCAAGTCAAAATTGCTGCCCAGATCAAACTCGCCAGACGCGTCCACATGTTCCATCGCGCTGCTAAAATTTTCGCGCTCTCTAAACTTTCCTTTATATATTCCATAATGAAGTAATCTGATTGGTTGAACAGTGAAATACTGTTACCTGATTGGTTTGTTCAATCGAGGGAGCATTTTAAAACACAAACTCCATTTAGGGGTCGTGTCACAAGTCATTTAGAATACTCGTTTCCTACTGTATCGGAGATACAGTGGGGGGGGGGGGGGGGGGGGGGCGGCTCGAGCTATCGCTCTCGCCTTAAGTCCCGCCCTGTATCTCCGATACAGTAGGAAATTCGTACTCTAAATATAACTAATAAATGAAATTAGAAGGAAGTCGCTTGAGTTTTATGAAAATATTTGGTAGGAATGAAAACTGTCGTCCAGCAACTGTATGTAGGTTAACATCGTTATTATCATTGAACGAAAACTATTTATATTTACAGCTGTTTTTGTCCGAGATAAAACTACGAATAAGGAGATAGCTATAGATCTTCGTAAAGCCTTTTCCTCATAAAAGCCATTTCCTGACAAAACTGCCCTCTTGCTTTGCTTGGCTTAGCCAAACTATAGGGCGGGGGGGGGGGGGGAGGGGGGATGTCAGACTTCGATTTCTAACTAGTGAATAGACATAACTAATTTTAATCTTTATTGCCTCAAAGGTAAGGTAAATGGATAAATACTCGTATAAGAAATAACTGTCTGATTTGGGGCTTTTATGATGAAGATAAAACCGTATTAACTTGATATTGTAATGCATAAACGTCTTTGGATTTTATGCTTATTATCTCGTTATCAAACTGTTTGATCATTTTACTATAAACAAAATCTACACAGTTACGCCATAAATGAAATTGAAATCCATTCTTTTCAGTAAAAGTACCTGAAGAAATATTAAGATGGGATATCGATGCTAGAGAAAGGTTTGTGAAGAACTTCAAGGTAGGAAGGGAGAAAATGTTTCCGCCAGAGGCATGATAGTTGGCTGTGCAGGCGCAGGCAAAACAACTCTTCTTAGAAAGCTTCAAGAAAAAAGAAGACCAGATGAAAATAAACCAACTGAGACAACTATAGGTCTTGAGGTCCATGAAGATTTGTTTGCTATTGAGGACAACAAGTTAATAGGTGAATATTTTCTTTCTCTCATAATGTGTCTATGAACTGAGTTTATTCATGTTAAAGCTTATGGTCGAGTCAAACATTACCAGATAGCGCTAACTGACATCAAACTGCAGTAAAAAAAAAAGTTAAATACCTTCTTATAATTTCGCTTAGGTTTCTCATTTGTTGAACATTTTCAATACCAGGAAAAATCCGATGAAGGTCTTTGGAATCTTTTTCAGCACGTTCAGAATTAATTCGCTTAGTGAAGAGATAAATAGCATAAAAAAAAAAGAGTCAACGGATTACATTTTACCCCTTTTTAGTGTGACTGAGGCATTGATATGTTCATGAATAATTTTAATGTTTTAGGAGACAATTTGTTTTAAATTTGCTTTGTAAAATAGTGTTTTTCTTTAGGTTCTATAATCTTTACATTGTCTTCGTTTTCAATTAGATTTTAGCAGGGAGAAAGCAGACTACAGTACAAATCAATATTTTGACAACAATGTGATAAGTA